GAACGAGACGCTGACCAACTAAATTCCACTCGTGCTCAGGTGAATAAGCAGGACAAGGAAGAAGTTGCATGTGTTAGGCTGAACAGAAGTCTCGAACAGTCTTTGTAACATGTGGGCGTGCATTATCCTGATGAAAGATAGCTCCAGGGTTAACTTAAAGGAAGGGAACGACTTCGGGCTGTAGCAATAGCCTGTTGCTATTGAGATTACCCTCAATTCGTAGCAGATTGGATCGTCCGTGATACGAAATCGCACCCCAAACCATAATTCCAGGTGTTAGGCCACTATGTCGAACAATAATGCACTCTGGAAGGCAGCGTTCACCGGCATGGCGTCTAACACAAATGTGGCCATCATGGTCCCACAAATCGAAGCGTGATTCGTCTGAAAAGACAACTTGGTACCAATCAACTTGCCAAGCTCTGTGCTCATGAGCCCATTGCAGACGCAGCAGTCGATGGTCTGCCGTGAGGGGGATCCTGTATAAAAGTACCCTTGCACGCAATCCACCGTGCAGCAGATGTCAACGAAACCGACATTAGTACACATGTAGCAGTGGATCAACGTGCTGCCAACTGCCTGGAGAAAGATGTACGGTCATTCACCACCATGCGGAGCAGGTGTCGATCATCGCGCGCTGACGTCATCCTCCATGGCCCACTGTCAGTTTTTCGAGTCGTTCGGTGCTCGTCGGTCCACTGCTTCCAAACTCGCATCACCGTGGAACTGTTCCGCTGCACACGAGCTCCTATTACGCGATAAGAAAATTCTCCTTCTCGAAGACCGATAATCCTCCCCCGTTCAAACTCCATAAATTGTTGGAATTTCTCCTTAATTCGTCGTTGAGGTATACTTAGGTCTCACTAAACGTTCGCCGCTAACAAATAATCATTAACTATTTTCACCGTCCTTCTCCAGCCCTCTATTTATACGCTTTCAGCATCAGTTCAGAGGGCACTGCGCATGCCACGCATGTGCGGTGGCTCTGAAACTGTACTATTTTACGAAACATCCTATAATTGATATTTGCTGCAAAGTTCATTTAATTCTGATGATTCCTTCATGGCGTTGCATTTTTTACAAACAGCAGTGTAAAAATGAGTGAACATATGAAATATCAAAATATCATATTTCCGAAAGATCTTCTATAAAAATATTTCTTCTCTTCCAGGCCGAATGTATGCGTCGAGAGGAATGAAATTGAAGAACCCGAACAAGAAACTACCGATATGCCGGGATTCAGCATCAATTTCGAAACAACGCGATGCGTTCCATCTGAATCAACATATGTTTGCACAAGAAAGTAAGTATTTTTGTTTGTTCAGTTTAACATAATTCGATTATATTAGAAATTTAATGTGTAAAAATGTTTTAAATAGAATGTTGACGAAAGCAAAAAAATGTTTAAGGGAAAAAAAACTTATAGTTGAATTATACTCTAATATTTAAATTAAACACATTTGAATTATACGAGCCCAATGGATGAGTGGCAGCGTCTTCCACGCCACAGGTCCGGGGCTCAAACCCCGGACTGGTTGACCAGCCTGTGACTGGTTGACCCAGCCTGTCATCCTTTCAGTGGGTCGCTAAATGAGTACCAAGATAGATTGTGGATGATCACAGTAACCGGAAATTTGCTCATGCACCTCAGTGCAAAAGATCATGAAAACTGAGATGGGCACTACAAAATTGTGAGAGTAATTATAGGTGATATAATATGCATTAACATATTAATTGCTTATTAATGTCATCCTTTGAAGCAACACAAAGACTATTGGCAACGGATTTCATAGTTTTGCACCTCGATTAAATGAAGAGGACTAACTTCCGCTATAAATTCGTTCTTCTAACTTCCACAACACGCTTTTATGATGAATTTGAACCCTGTCAAATGAAACGTGTATCAGTCTCTTCAAACCAGGGGATTATGCCAGTGGTCTCTAAAGTGAAGTACTTGTAACTCTAGGGAGTACGCCGAGTTAGACTTGAAGGTGCATGAAAGAAGTAGGCTTACACACATATATATACAGGACGATTCATAAAGAAGTATGCAGTTTAGACGCACTATAAATCAAGAACAATGTAAGATGTTGAATGTAACCTGTAACAGAATTGTATGGGACTATTTAAGTTTTATTAGAGACAGTCACATATATTCTGTGTGTGAACTCAGGGCCGTTTTTAACCTCCTCGGCACTTCGAATTGTTACGTCCCTTCCTCCACTATTTCCAGAGCCTCTTCCACCTTCAGTCCTTTCATCGCCAGTTTTAGTTCGGGAAGGATTTTCCCTTTTTTTTTGTTTTCTGCTGTTTGGAGAATCTTTCCATTATCCACCACCTATTGGTCAGCCATGTCCTGGACTGGCAACCGTAAAGAGAGGAGCGCCCTAGGTACGTGCATAAGCGGAAAGGTGGCCCTGTGTGTAGGGACGTCTAAAGACTTCTTGAGACCCTGGGCCCTTATTTAAAAGTATTACCTGGACCCCCCTATACAAATGTAGATCCTACCTATGACTCAAAGTAGACAGTACATAGTATACGTTGTCAAATACTCATGCAAACAGTAACCCGAAACAAATAAATGTGCATGACTTACAGTCACACAACCCGGCTCGACCGATTGCCGCCTTTTGACTAAATGAGTAATGATGGTGCATAGTGGTAGGCATAGATCTGTGCATGGACGATGGCCATCACATGCAGCCAATTGACATATCGTCCGAAATTCTCAGATTTTCGGAGAGTACAACTGGAAAAAACATTCGACCTTTGAAATTATTTGAATACTGATCTTATTAAGACTGAGTCGAGGCCCTGGGCCCAGTTGAGTGAGTGAATATAAACGTCGCACTGTGTTCACCTACATGAGGGCTTTTGGCGACGGATCTCGTAATTTTGAACCATGGTCAAGTGACAAGGACGACACCTGAGATGGCACCCCTCTCCAAACAACCACGCCACACCAACGGGAGGACGTTTCAGCTCTCGACAGATTTAACGTGCATCGCACACGGCGGGTCTTTAGAGGTACTGGGCTCGAACTCGTGACAAGTCAGCCACGATCTGATACCTTAACCACTAGGCTACCGCGGCCTCCCTGGGCCCATGCCTCAAGACTTCCCTGCTTGTGTGAATTCTCAGTCACACGACACACATCGAACTTCATCGATAGCGGATGTGATACGCTGTTTTAGCTTTGTCCAGGACTTTTACTTCAGTACAAACAACCCATAGTTTTAAATTTTTTATATCATTGTTAGATAAATTTGCCAGTTGGAAGTTCTTTTCCGAATCGTGATCAAAAATGGTGTTGCACAGCAGTGGTGGATTCCACTTTGCTAAATTCAAGAACACAAAAAGCTTCTTCCTCTGTAGATACCACCATTTCAACAGATTAGTCACATGACACGCCTACTATTGCTTACGTCATTTTTGTCAGGGGTTAGGCACAAACAGACGTCTTATTTTTTTACCTAGTCACATGCATAACATAACAATTCTTGATTGATGAAATGATTTATTAAAAACAATTTTCATGAAAAAAATGAGTACAATGTATCAGTTGTACGTACGGCTAAATTATATTTTCTGATCATCTTACAAAATGTTTAGAAATATTTTTAAACGTCCCTTGTACAAAATTCTTTATACATATTCGAATGTTTGATACAATGTTCAAACTGATGTAAGATATCTACAGAATTAACATCAGCTGATTTAGTTCAAGTAGTTTTATAACAACAATTATCACTATTTCTCATTGTAAATTGATTTAATGAATGTATAACTCACGCATTTAGTTAAAGATAGAATTTAGAGAAATTTTGTGATTAGATTCAAATATATAATAAGAATGAATCATGTTTTCCATGTAGGATTCAAACCAATGGAATGAGAAAAACTGTTGTAATTCGACGCCAGTGCTGCCATGGATTCGTCAGACGAACAGATGGAAGAGCAGGGTGCAGTGCATGTAAGATAATTTATAATTAAATATATCAACGTAATTATTTGAAAATTTTTACAAAAAATTTTCAGATATTAGTCTAATGATATAAAAATTAGCATGAAAATTTTAAAACGTTCTTAGAATTTTTTTAGGCTTACTTTTGAAAAGGTAGGAAAATATCAGTTATTCGTAATTAAAAATAATTATAATCAAAATTCCGATGTAATGCTTTATACTTTACGTTTCAATCGAGAATAATGAATCTACATTACATTAATAAGCACAGTATAATAATATATATATAAACGAATAATATATATTTTTAAAAATATTCCAATTGTAATTGTTTTTTAAAAAATATAAATTTTGTCACAAAACCTGTAATTACAGTAGCTTTTTAAAAAACAACAACAACATTTAATTGAATGACATATGAATAACCTTTTTTTCAATTATTCATTTGGAATTAAAATTTTCTTATGTTTACGCGATGCTGAAAAGGAAATTCTCTTCATTATTATTTATAGTAAAAATGGAAGATTTGATAGAGACGATGAAATCACTCGAAAGGACCAAATTCGTGAAATGGACAGAGAGTGCTGGGTTGGAGGATAAACTCAAGACAGGAAATTACACTGTATTCACACCTTCAAACGAAGCCATTATTGATTTCGAAGACGACTCGGAAGACGTAAGATTTCTGTTTCTCTTGAAAAATTTTGACACAATTTTTTTCCCTCTGAAATATCGAGTCTGAATTTATTACATATTAAAATATGTCGATCTTTCTTTTTCACAATTCCTACTATTTATTTTTTAGTTCACTCTCTCCCTATATATATCGTTCAAATTTTCAATCGTTCATAAAATATACCTTCTATTCATCCATTCAAGTTCAAATACATTTTTTAAAACTTGTAGTGGATGACACTTGATGGTAACAGTTTTTTTTTCAAATATTAATTCATTAATTAAATTTAAAAATGAATAAATAGTAACAAACAAAAATAATACTCCAACAGCATATATAGAAAGGAAAATCGTCCGCTGTGTCTTTGTAGCCCAATGGATCGGGCATTGGACTTTTAATCCAAAGGTCGTGGGTTCGAATCCCACCAGGGATGCCCTAATTTTTGAGAATGTAACTTCTTTTTTACTATACTATTTTATTAGAATAAATAGTAACAAAGAAACAAACAAAATTGTCCAACACCATATGTAGAAAGGAACATTGCTTCCTATTTTGTTTCTTAATATTGTGATTCTGTCTTGTGTATATACATATTTATATTAATTGTAACTATTTAATAAAAAGTAACTAAAATAAATTTTTTCTTTGTTGACCCAAGTAAGAATTGACTTAATTTTTTTATATTACTTGTTTCACATGTAATAGAAAATTGTACAGTTTAAAAGGTTCCTTGCTTTTCCTCCGCTACAGGTATAATATAATAAAATCTGTAAGTTCAAAAAAATGTTGTCAGTGAAAAAAAAAAAAAAACCAGAATGGTAAGATTCGAAACTAAACTAACAAGCGTTAGTAATTACAACTTAATACATCACCAATAACTAGCTTTAATTCAATAATTATATCCACCCTAATTATTCAAACAATAATTTGCACGAATAAACACAATTTTCAAAATTAAAACCCGAATTCAATAATAAATTTTATGTTAATGCTTTAACATCTCGAATTTACGGATTTGCATCTAGGTACATCTTAAGACTCTTTGAGGCCTTGGGGCCCTTAAACAAAAGTAGGCCCCACCTGAGACCTTCGAAAGTAGACAGTTTTTAGCAAACGGTAATTTCAATCTCAAAAACCTAGGCACAAACCGACTCGACCGATGTCTGCATTCCGATTAAATGAGTTGAATGATTTTTTTTATTTCTAATGGAAGATTATGAACAGTTACTACAGAGTTCATCAATCTATCTAGTACATTACCGAAAGCAGGAATCTCTTTTTAGTCCGGTGCCCTATTGGCGGACACCAATTATCGCAGGTAATTTTGACGCCCAGTTTCCTCCCTGAAGCACCTGAGCTCTGACGATGCGAACCTGTACTAGGATTTAATTTTGCCTAGAGCACCCCCAAGGCATCTTTTACATGCCGTATAATCATACGACATGGCCGCTGTCGAAATGAGTTGAATGATTGTTTACGGTATTAGGCCTAGGTCTAGACATAGACAACGGTCATCACATAATAATAGTCTTATCACTTTTACCAGTTGGCGTGCAATTTGAAATTCCCTGTTTTTCGAAGAATATGACGGGAACAAGTAATATAAAAAAATTTTTTTTAATCAATTCCTACTTTGATCAACGAAGAAAAAATTAATTTTAGCTACTTTTTTATTAAATCGTTACAATTAATATAAATATGTATTCACATTTGACAAAATCGCAACATTAAGAGATAATTAATTTTTATTAATTATCCTTAAAGTATCGTATTGTCATCCAAAAAAATCGTGCATATATAATTTCAGTTCAACCGAATGCTTTAAAACGTGAGAAAAAAAATATTTTCTAGTTTTGACCAGAGTCGCTAAAAATGAAACCATCGTGGCTGTATCTGAAATTATTTAAATAATTAGTTTCAGTCAATTAATTTTTATTAATTATAATTAAATTATCGTATTTTTACCCCAAACAATAGTGTATAGAAAATTGCAGCTCAAACGAGCGTTTTAAAATGTGAGAAAAAAAACTTATGTTTTGTCACAGGTCGCCAAAATGGTCGCTTAGTCCCCAAAAATGATGCCAACGTGGCTGTATTTGTAATTTGAATAATTAGTTTTAATCAATTAATTTTTATTAATTATAATTAAATTACTGTATTGTCATCCAAAATAATCATGTATATAAAATTTCAGCTCAATTGAGCGCTTTAAAATGTATTATATTAACGATTAAAAATTCCACGAAGATAAATAAATAAATATATAGAGAGAGTGAGCTAATAGTGTAGGGATTGAACAATATTTGACCGATTAAAGTTATCTGGATTATGAGAGAACGCATGGGGCCGAGCCCAGTTGGCCCATGCCTTAAAGACTCCCCTGTTTGTACCCTCTTTTCTAAAAATCTCTCTCAGATCCCATTCAACAATTCTACAAGTTATCTAGCAGTCATTTTTCGAAGCATGTCAGAAAGCTACCCTGTTTTGATCCTCGCATACTTCACGATTCGGTTACTTAATATTTCCTAATGCCGGTGCAATAGGTTATTAACCTTAGACGTTCAGGTAAAATAGGGCAAGAGGCAATAGAAAGTGAAAGGAGAATTTATGTATGGAGTAATAATAAGCCGCAGGACATTTATGTGTGGTACTAGAATCGCAATAAAGTAACGAAATTTCCTTATTTCAAGTGTAACTTTTTAAAACCTTTTATAATTCACCAAATATGGCTATTTAGTAGGTAAAAGAGAAGTGCGATTCATTGAAAGTGTAGGATACATTTGAAAATTTAGAAACTTCCAAGAAAATCGAAATTGAAAATGGAATAAAAAGTTGTTTAGTACATAATCTCAAATATATATGTATGTATGCATCTAATTGTCTCGTATATTTATATCATCCTTGCAAAATTTTAAGATTTATATATATATATATTAATGTGAAATAAAATACCGGTAAAAATTTTATGTAATAAAATAACTTTGAAATGAACAATCAAATTTCCATATAATGTCTTCTTATAAATTATTGTTTCAAATAAATCTCAAATTATAGCCTAGTGTTGTTGGCAGGAGGGAATATATATATATAAACTTAGCAAAGTTAATTTAAAACGCATTTTGTGTCTTTTGTTTACTGTTTAATCTACATGTAAAATTAAATTGCAATATATATATATATATATATATTACTTATATTTTCTCTTACTAAATGCAGAATGAGATATCAGCCATTAACCCTGCTAAGCGACTCATAGATACTTCTTCAATCGTGGCTGGCCACATCGTCGAAGGTTTCGAAAACATCGATGTCTTGGAAAACGAACAAGAACTCAAAACTTTAAGTGAAGGATCCAAGATTCGAATTAACAAGTATCAACCCGCGCATGAGGTAAAATATGATTTTTAAAAGTACTTTTACATTAATTTAATTACTTTCTTGACCAAAAGATAAAGGAAGATGTTAATTATAGCGTAGCAGAAAAAGCAACTATTGGCTTTGAATTGAAATTTTTAAAAATCGGCAATTGAAATCAAGGGAAAAAATTGCATGAGTAATTTGCATATGCTAATAAATTCTTCAGCACACAAACACCGATTGCACAGTACACACATATGTTACCCTCCTTTCAAAAATAGGGAGAATTCTCATTTTGTTTTGCAGTTCGTTTTTAGACTGCAGCAACAGTCTGCATAATTTTCTACAGGGGGGTACGCATTTATATGATAAAGCGTATCTCATTTCTGTTCCCTCAAAGAAATAAACCCTGTCTTTAAACGTTAGAACCAACATTATTTTTAACAAGTGTATGAATTGTACCGTATAAAACGTCCACATAAAAAACGCACTTTTCTAATCACGGAACTATAATTCAACATTGTTTTGCTCTTCAGAGAAATATGATTAGCTTAGCAAATATAAATTTATTCAAAATTGGAGTACTCAAGAATAAAAAATACAGCAAGTTACTTTTTGATGCTTTCAGTAGGACCTCATGAAAAACTATATATACATTAAATTTTTCATAATCAAAGATGCAATTGGATTTGAACTCAATTAATCTGAAATAAAAATATAGAAATGTATCATTTGGCTCAATAGTGATGTCCTTGAAGATAAGCTGTATCTCTGCTGACCAATGCTCACAGCTTTATGTAGCGTAGAGTTTAAATATTTTGAAGATGATAAAAAAAAGCACTGCATATAGTTTTCTTTGGAGTTGAATGTTTTGCTTTGTGTGATCAATGATATATCAATCAGTATATATCAAGTTGTCAGCAAAATACCAATGTTTCTCTTATTACGTAGGTGGTAACAGCCAATTGCGTTCCTGTTAGTGGAAAGAACAATTTCGCCACCAACGGAATCGCTCATTTAACTTCTGGTGTATTGCCTCAGCCGAAAAAGACTCTGGCAGAAATCATTGAAGAAGATGAAGGATTTACTAAATTTAAAAATCGTAAGTACTTTTATCAAAACATTTGAATCTAGAGTACTTTACGGTAAGGTAGAATTTATATAATTTCAGTGGTCATCAAATGAAACTCACAATTTAGTTGCTCTTTTCAGTTTTGATCGACAGCGGCATAATGGAAGAGTTGAAAAAACAAGATCAGCCATGGACGCTGTTCGTTCCAACGGATTCGGCCTTTAGGAAACTGCCCAAAAGTTTGAAGAAACAGATCGAATCTGGAGAAGGGTGCATCCAAAGTAAGTAACGGAAAATCAAGTTCATAACAGGAAAAAAAAATATTGTTTAAATATATAATAAAAACCATAAGTACAGACTGTCCAACAAATACGAATATCCGATGTAACAGCAAAAATTGAGAGTGAAACAGATGAACTGTATTCTAGCACTACGTAGCTGTAATTGATATAAGCGTGACAAAGTAGACATACGAATTTTCTTTATATTTCTCGAGATTCTAAATCACATTAATTTCGGGGGCTTTCAGTGCCGGTTTATCCCCTGTGCACTTAAGGCGGGCGTCCAGGGGCTCGAATAAGCTGGACTTAACCAGAAAATCTGGTTATAGATCTCGATCCGAGATAGTGCCAAGGAAGCTTATAGATTTTTTGCGCCCAGGGCCCGAAATATGCTTAAATCGACACTGGGGACTTAAACGATGTTTTTTATGCGAATTCTCGGTATTTTACACAGCAGTTTATAAAACAACCAAGACTAATACAATAAGTAAACAATTTTTCAACTGTAATACTTAGAAATTAAAACCCTCATCGCAACGTGAATGAAATTTCTAAGATTACAATAATGGCAATAAATATGCTCAAAAATGAATTAGAAACGATATTATACTTAAATGCTTCGTTTCATTAAACTGGATAATAAAACCAGTTTCACACGAGGCAACTTTGCGCCAGTCAACTCGTTTCCTGTCACCACTCCTCTGGTATGTAGAGGAGAGAGAA